ACATCACTTAGATAAACAATTAGTCATTAGAGAATGTAACAAGAATTGCAAACAGAGTAATATCAATAGTAATAGTTATTATAATAATAATAATAGTGTTGAAGTAAGTTAAGATAATGTTACTGATAAAGGATGTTGTAAGGGCGTTGTAAGGGTGGAGGAAATGGTTTATTTAGTAGTGCAAAGAAGGTTAGTTAGTTTGTCCCTGACACTATTTTCATCACATAAAATACGTACCGCCAAATATGGTATAGTGGAATTTTTATACTTAGACTTACGTGCATAAAGATCTTCTGAAATGACTTCTTGTTTTACTTGACGAGACACAAGGTTGGAGCTACGGGTGATGCAATTAGTCATTAGAGAATATAGCAAGAATTGCAAACAGAGTAATATCAATAGTAATAGTTATAATAATAATAGAGTAGAGCAGTAGAGTAGAGTATTCAGCTGACGAGTTCTTCCGAAATTCGATGAATTCATTAAATCCTGCTTTATTGACCACATTTGTTGCTTGTTTCAAATTCGCATTGGGAAATAAATGTTTTCGATTGACCTCTCACTCTCATTCTTTCTCTCTCTGAACTTAACTAGATTACTTTTGAATACTCTCACTCTGTCTGACCCACTACTCTGTGGTGTGTGATTCCATGCGAGTGTATGCAATGCAATGACTGACCTCTGTTTCCTGGGTTATTTAACTTCGCAGGGCCAATCCTTCTAGGTATGGCTAAACTTTTATGTTCCAATAATCTAGTTGGTCGTGATCTACTAGTTCGAGTGACCCATGTAATTGACCTTACTAACAGTAGTCAGCATTACATGATATTTATATATTTTATATTATCTTCCTTAATTGGATCCATAGAGCGGGTCCTTAATCCGACAGAGTTTATCTCTCTCTGATAGAGCTGGCTGGTTGTTTGGTTGGTTTAAATGGCCCTCCTCCCCGACTTATTCCAGCCTCATTGAGAATCCTATGTAAGGCCTGAGACACGTGTTTTCTTTATTCGAATAATACTAGTACGGAGGCTTTGAATTCTTTATCCACTTGTGCAAGGTTGTGGGGGTGGGGGTGGAGTTTCATTTTTTTTATTTGTTTTTATTTGAATACTCTTTTGTATTTCCCGTTGACTCAATATGCGCTAGAGGGGACAAACTTCTTTCTTAACCGTGAAATCATGAGTTATGCGTATATTTACGTGATGATCTAACTGGATGGTTTTTGATTGGCTCAATTGTGGCTTAATTTTCTAACTTGTTAAACAACCAATCAGATTTGTCTACACATACATATACATACACAGTCATAGAGGAGGACGGAGCAAATTGCTGCTGTGCAGTACACACACGTCCATTGATCGATAGCCGGCTGGATATCACTTCTGCGAAGCCGGAGATGGTGTAAGTTTGCAAATTACAAACTAGCCTTCTGTATCCTTGTTGAGATTTCGTCAGAGATCAATCCTCTGAGGCTGGCGGATGCAACTTTCCTAATAAGGGAAGTGATGGTCAACACGCTCAACCACCACCACTTCACTCCTGCCTGTCTTTAAGTCAGCTACGAGTAGTCGATGTAGTCCAGTCGTGCATCATCATCATCATCATCATCATCTTACATATGACGGTTGCGAATCGCATGTCAAACATTCGCAGATTGCTGTTCAGCTGAAGGTGTTCAGAAGACTCGGCTGTTTTTTCAACGTCTTCACCTGGCAGGGAGGACTATATCATCTGCATATTCTAAGTCAACGATATTATTCCCTGGTGGTGGTAACAAGTCAGTCGCTTTGTCGTGGAAGTCAGTTAGTGTTAAGTCCATCAGTACATCTATGATGATTAGTATAGCTATGAAATCGTTTGCAGTGTATGCTGATATTTTCAAGTATTGATTTTGTAGGGATTTTTGTTTGATTTCATGGAGGATTTCATCATGAGCTGACATTAGTTAGAGAACCACTGGAAAACCTGGGAGTACTGGACAGCTGTTTCATCCTAGTTTGGGGCCCTTCAGCAGTACGCACCCACCCGAATGCGGTTCGAATGCAGGGCGTTCTGGTTACAAGGCCAGCGACCTCAGCCTTGACCTAGGGGTTTCGTGCTAGTTGGCACTCCGTCAGTCACCAGTCATCAAAGCGTATCTATAACCTGCAAGGAATAACTCATGCCCCTTCTGAGATTCGAACCGGCATCACCCCAGTGAGATCTGCAGTCGGAAGAGACGTTATCACAGAGCTAGCTATTTGGGCTTGTAACTTACCTGCTATAGAACTGTATTGGATATTTTTAACATGAATGAGAGAATTCAAGTTGTATCAAAAAGATAAGACTTTTAGACACATTACACTAGTTACTGACTAGTGTCCAGTCATCAGTGGTAAAGTCTCTCACTGCAGCACTCCACTGGATGACGCGGGTTCGAATCTCAGAAGGGACATGACTTCCTTCAAAGTTGCACATACGCCTTGCTGACTGACTGATGAGTTCCAACTAGAGCGAAACCTCCAGGTCAATCAAGGCTTCTTGTGATCGACTGCCTCCAACCATCTAATACCACATATGGTTACCTGATCAGATAAGAATTACCAAAGTAGTAGATTAAGGGAAATAATAAATTGTTGCTGTACACACAGGGGAAATCAACCGACGAGGCTGTGAAGTTACATCGATTGAAATGGTTAGGACATGTGTTATGCATGCATGCCTGGCCATCGCCTTCCTCGACGGGAAATGTTAGTTGACATAGGGTCAGTTTGGAAAAGAGCTAGCGGCGGTCAAACCAAAACCACCCTGGCTTCATCAGTCAATGAAATCCACCACAGTTAGTTTAAACCGGCCAGTCAGGTAGGAAGATGTAGACCTCTTGACTGGTTGGGGTCCTCGGGACGGTAAACACCAATGGAGGCTGGAGACAATTGATGATATGGCCCAAAATTGTTCTCACTGGCTGTCGGAGATGCATCCACTCCTTGTGATTTATAATACGTAATTAGACCATATTGCTCTTCGTTATTACTATTCTTTTTGCCTCATATCTCTGTTTACTGTCTCTATTTTGTGTTTCTTTTTACTTTCTTCTCTTGCTTTGTGTGTTACAAAGAGATTGTCTGGCGACTTGAATTGCTGCATATTGGTGCAAAGTTCTAAGTTGTAACCAACCAGCCACACAGGTGTGGCGAGGAGTGTTGGGGGGTTGGCTTACATCACGTGACATTGTAGTTTTTCAGATAATCTCCGTCATGTAATATTAATATATAACACTGCTCAAATTTCTAAAAACGACTAATTGTTTTAAAATTCAGACTGTGTACCAAACAAACAAACACGAACAAAGGACTTAGATACAGGATACTGGTTACTCACCACCTGGTGTTTAGTCATCGATTAAAGATGTATAATGTGTAATATAAAATAATATTTTAACTGATAAAAATACCCATTAAAATTTTCAAAAGAATGGATACTGAACAAAGAATACTCTTTTCGATAACCCCTTCATCATCAGGTTCTATAGTTACACATATACATTATAGTGAATGAATGAATTAGTGTTATGAAAAACATTAATGTTGCTGTTTAAATAACATCGAATCAATCAATAATATCAATAGATTACAGTTCAATAGCGTCAACATAACAATAAACTGAATGTCAGAAAAATTAGGAAAGATAATATTACAAATTCATGAATTTATAGTCTCTACTGAAGGCCAGCTAGGGCAGTAGTCGGGGCTGGCTGGACTTACTTCTCAGGCGAATTGCAATAACCTCTGCTGTTTGGAGCATGCGGTAGTTGGACATTTTTGGCAATTTATTATGCACCCGGTAGATGATAGAGAAGGATTCTTCAATGCTGGCTGGCTTTGTGGCCGGTTTGCACCAGATGGTCCAGTATCGAACTATTGATGATAGTTTTCACTACACCTTTTGCTTAACCATACTGGGAGATGTTCTCGAGTGAGCACGAAAAATCAAGTTCCTAGTGGGCAACGGCCGATATAACTCGCTCCACCACAAGCGCAGTTGAATTGGTAGATACAATAAGAAGAGGTGACTAGTCTAGGTACTTCCTCTTTCAGTCGAGGAATAACCATCGGTGGTGTAGAGAATAATACGTGTAGTTCGCCAGCATTAAAAGTTCTTTCAACTGATTTTCTTACTTTCTTCGTAATTATTTCACTTGGTATATCGCCCTTGAATTGCAGTCGTATATATAAAGAGGCTTTTTGTTTGCGGATGGTGACTAGTGCATTTCCGCTTTCTTTGTCATGTGTTTCTTGATAAATTTGTTGGAATAGCTATTTTTAATCAATCAAAGTATCATATACAATGTTTAATTCATCTTCGGTTACTTCTTCTGAGCATATAGCTCTAACTAACTCTGTGGCTGAGGGTCTTTACTAAATTTCTTTTGAACCAGATGGTCTCAGGGATTCAAACGTTTCGTTGGTAATGAAGGATTCGTTCTTCAGTTTACGGAGGATGTCTGTTAGTTTCTGTTCAATCTGCTTCGTCATGTTTTTCTCGTTGGCCGGTTTGGTGAATTTAGATTCATCAGATAGAATGGTCAACATTTTACTGATATAATCCTTACGGTTCATGATTACGATTCCTCCACCTTTATCAGGACGTATCAGCATAATCTCTTCGTTGTTCATCTTTTGTACTTGAGAGGAACGAAGCTATGAAAATATGTGTATATTGTCCTGTCCAAGTACTTTTTCTCTGCAAATTTCTTTTTATGCTACCATCTGGTCTTCTTGTAATGAGGACATCCAGGAAGGCAATTGTGTTTTGGGATCCCTCTTCGCACGTGAATTTGATAACCGAATGTACTTCATTGAATTCAGTAATTATTGTACTCCTCCTATCCGAATCATTATCATTATCTTTGTTCAGTATGCATTCTTATGAAAATAATATTTTCTTATTTTTTTGAATTCTCTCTTTTTTTCTCTTTCTTATGTGATCTATTTTTTAAATTATTATTTTGTATAAAGAACGCTCTTTACCGTCAAATGGTGATGCTATCTCATCGAAACAAAGACGAACTCAGCTGTTGGCACTCAGAAAAATGATACGCGTTATGGATAAGGAACATCATAAAATTCTTGCTGATTTAAAGGTTAGTCAGAGAGAGAGAGAGTGTGTGTGTGTCTGTGATGAAAACAATATTTTTCGCTCTTATTATTGATTTTTATCCTAATCTCTAATGAATTTCCACTAACTAACTAGAGTCGTAATGAGCTGAGAGTAGATACTTCATGTAACTATCAGTTTTTTAAAGTGTGAAGTGTTACTCTATAAGGTGTGTTTCATTGGCTAGTTACAGGATTTCATCGTGAGCTGACATCAGTTGGGGGAACTATTGGAAAACCACCAGGGACTCTTCAGCAGTGTGCACCCGCATCACCAGGGGTTCGAACCCAGGAGCTTCCGGTCACAAGGTGAGATCGTGAGTCGTTCAGTCACTGGGAACCAACCCAATGGTCTATGAATTCCAACTTCTATCAATTCGTGGAAAGAGGGCAGGGTACCTACGGATTGGAAGAAAGGCAACTTATTCAAACTGCCAAAGAAAGGGGACTTAAGTCAATGCAAGAACTGGCGCGGTATTATGCTCCTGTCCATCGTAAGCAAAATACTAAGCCGCTTCATCCTGAAGAGAATCAAACACACCGACCTGGATGAAAAACTTCTACCGGAACAGGCTGGATTCAGGAGGAACAAGTCATGCATCGATCACATCGCAGTGCTTCGAATCATTATTGAACAGAGCTTGGAATAGCAGTCAGCTCTCTATCTCAACTTCATTGACAGCGTCGATCGAGAGATGATTTGGCAACTACTTCGTTACTATGCGGTGCCGCCAACAACTATACATCTCATCCAACAGTTTTACGATAATGCTGCATGCCAAATAATCCACAGCGGGAAACTCACGGAATCCTTAGAAGAAGTGAAGACGGGAGTAAGACGAGCTGGCTTGCTGACTGCCCACTATCTCCAATGATTAATTTCCTGATTGTGGTAGACTGGATAATGTGACAGACAGTGGCAGGCAGCGAGAAGACAGGTATAAAATGGACCCACACAAGAAAATTGGAGGATCTGGATCGGGATTTCGCCGATGATATATATGTCTGATTTCCAACAAACTGGAAGATATGCAAGTGAAAAGCGACAAGTTGGCAGAAGAAGCATCCAGAGAGGATAGGACTTCCTTCAGGTGAACATAGAAGAAACAGAGGTAGGTGGTGAAGATTCCTGGCCAACAGCAACAGCAACAACAACAGACATCAATCAGCATGAATGGGAGGAGTCTGAAAGAAGCAACCTCCTTCACCTAACTACCTGGGAAGCATCGCCTTTTCAACTACGGGCAGACAGTACTGATGAGGATATCAAAGCGAAGGTCGGGAAAGCAAGACAAGCTTTCATTACTCTCAAGTTCGTGTGGAGGTCAACAGCACTCAACATGAAAAATAAGATCCGTATTTTCAACTCTAATGTAAAGTCAGTGCTACTATACGAATCGGAGACTTGGCGCGTCACGAAGGCCACTTCGAACAAACTGTATTCGCTCGGTATTACTTAAGATCAGATGGCCAGAAAAGATCAGCAACAGCAGGAACCGATTGTGCAACAAATATGCTGGAGGCAATGGAGGTGGATTGGCCATTCTCTGAGAAAACCATCAAGTGACTGACAGCACACGACAGGCCATCACTCGAGTGGAAACCGAATGGGAAGTGGCGAGTTTGTCGTCAATGCGAGGGTGGGGTGACATGGAGGAGAAGGTGATAGAAAGAGGAGATGAAAGCATGTGGGCGGACGTGGAGCCAGGTGAAAAGGTTAGCAGAGAACCGAACGCAGTGGAGACGTTTGGCTGAAGCCGTATGTAACTTCTTGTGTATAGATAGGGTCAGTGAGTATTTGATTGTAATTGTTAAATGTGTTGGCTATCAGGGATTCGATTGGTTGGTTACAGGAGGAGATTGATCACCAGGTGATATCGATTAGAATGGATGGTCTATGAGCTTGCCTTGTGATAGGAAAGTCCCGGGTTCAAACCCTAGCGGGGGGTGCGTACTGCTGAAGAGTCTCAAGTACTGGGGCAACGGAAACAGCTGTCCAGTACTCCCAAATAGTTTTACAATGGTTCTCTAACTGATATATATATATATATATATATCGTTCGGTCCGCGTACTTCCGCTTTCTGTCTCACAGTCCTGTTACCCTCATGCAGACACATACATACACACACGCAGACACACAAAATGCTCTCAGTCACACTGTCATCACTTTATAAACATATCATTGTTCTCGCTTGATAATTCCCTCCGGATGTAAACTAATAATAATAATACTTAATAATAATAAGTAATCTCTTCATGTACTTATTATATTTCATATACATAAATGAATCAATAATGTTATGGTAACTTGATCAATCAATAAATAAATAAATAAATCAACAGAGATAAATGGGACTGTGATTTTTACTTATTTATTTATTTATTCATCATATAATCTATCGACCATCTTGTTTGTTTATTGTTTATTTTGGTTTATTCTATACTCCGCGTCAGGCAGTCAGTCAATCAGTCAGACGGTTAGACAGTCAGTTGGCCAGTTAGTTAGTTAGTTAATCCAGTCAACCATTTGCTAAATGACCTTGTAGGGATTGTGTTTATTGGATATATATATCGATATGCGTGATATATATATATATATATATATATATATCCTCCCTGTTGTTTACTTTATCGCTTTCGCTACTCTTTTTGTTGTTGTTGTTGTTTTCGCCTGTTTATAATTTATGGGTTGTTTTTTTATCGACACTTAACCGTTGAAGTGATGCTCGCTAGTGGATGACTGACTGACTGGCTGCAGAACGAAGTGGCCTAGAGCTGTTTCTAGTGAGAATTGGTGGGATCTCACCAGCGAGGAAATTGCCTAGCTGGTGCTAGCTAGTCACGCTTTAAACGGTCATGAATTGGTAGAAGTTAGAATTCCTTCATGGGCTAATCATTGGAGAATCGTCTACCATCCAAGTGACTGAAAGGTGTAGATGAGTTAGTTTGACTTGTAATCAAGAGGAGGTCCTGGGTTTGAATTGAAGCAATGTTGAATCTCAGCACGAATACAGAGGGCTAGCTTCGCATATGCCAGTTTACGCCGTCTCCGGCTTAGTAGACGTGATATCCGACTGTCTATCGACCAAAGGGCGTGTGTACTGCTCATCAGTCCCCTCCGTCATCCTTTATGGCTGTGAGCGAGACCTGGCCATTGAGAATGGAAGACATGAAAAGATTAGCTGTCTTTGACCATAGATGTCTGCGTTCTATCTCCCGTGTGAAGTGGTATAATAAGATGAGCAATATTGAGGTTAGGCGTCGAGTGCTAGGTAGGGAGTGGAAATCAATCGACGAGGCTGTGAAATTACATCGACTGAGATGGTTAGGACATGTGTTATGTATGCCTAGTCATCGCCTTCCTCGATGGACAGGCAATGTTAGTTGATATAGGGTCAGGCTGGAAAAGAGCTAGCGGCGGTCAAACCAAAACATGACACCAGTCAATGAAATCTACAACAGTTAGCTTAAGCCACGTAGGAAGGTGTAGACTGGCTTCCTGGTTGGGGTCCTCGGGACGGTAAAAACCAATGGTTGGAAACAATATGGTGACATGGCTCAAAATCGTTCTCAATGCCTGGCGCAGATGCAGCCACTCCTTGTGACTTATGATTTCCAATTAAACTGTTTTGTTCTTCGTTATTACTATTCCTTTGTCTCACACCTCTGTTTACTGTCTCTATTATGCATTTCTCCTACTTTCTTCTCTTGCTTTGTGTGCTACATGAGGGAGTGTGGCGACTTGAACTTTGCACATATGTGCGGCAGTTCAAGTCGCCACACTCCCTCCATGTAGCACACAAAGCAAGAGAAGAAAGTAGGAGAAATGCATATTAGAGACAGTAAACAGAGGTGTGAGACAAAGGAATAGTAATAACGGAGAACAAAACAGTTTAATTGGAAATCATAAGTCACAAGGAGTGGCTGCATCTGCGCCAGGCATTGAGAACGATTTTGAGCCATGTCACCATATTGTTTCCAACCATTGGTTTTTACCGTCCCGAGGACCCCAACCAGGAAGCCAGTCTACACCTTCCTACGTGGCTTAAGCTAACTGTTGTAGATTTCATTGACTGGTGTCATGTTTTGGTTTGACCGCCGCTAGCTCTTTTCCAGCCTGACCCTATATCAACTAACATTGCCTGTCCATCGAGGAAGGCGATGACTAGGCATACATAACACATGTCCTAACCATCTCAGTCGATGTAATTTCACAGCCTCGTCGATTGATTTCCACTCCCTACCTAGCACTCGACGCCTAACCTCAATATTGCTCATCTTATTATACCACTTCACACGGGAGATAGAACGCAGACATCTATGGTCAAAGACAGCTAATCTTTTCATGTCTTCCATTCTCAATGGCCAGGTCTCGCTCACAGCCATAAAGGATGACGGAGGGGACTGATGAGCAGTACACACGCCCTTTGGTCGATAGACAGTCGGATATCACGTCTACTAAGCCGGAGACGGCGTAAACTGGCATATGCGAAGCTAGCCCTCTGTACCTGTGCTGAGATTTCGTCAGAGATCAACCAGTTGGCACTGGCTGATGGTACTTCCTACATCTATCTACATGTTTTCTCGCTTCCAATAATCAGCCTCTTGTCTAACCACTAGCTAAATACTCGATTTGGCTGAGATCTGTTATGTGAGATTGGTGTACAGCATGTGACTGTGATTGCTCAGGTTTATTGATTCCTTCGTTAGGTGTAGTTTTGTTTTGGAGCGCTATGCGCTTACAGTTACCGGTATCATTTCTGCAGAAGTTAAACTTTCCTATTCTTACGTGAAATTACGAGTGAAGTGATAGAACATGTTGACCATTTCACCTATTTGGGAAGTTGTATCAGCACCAACGGATTGATTGGTGACGAAATCACAGCACGGATCCAGAAAGCTCGGGCTGCTTTCGCTAACTTACACCGTCTCTGGCGTAGGCGTGACATCCGGCTGTCAACCAAGGGACGTGTATACTGCTCAGCAGTTCGCTCCGTCCTTCTCTATGATGGCTCTGAAACATGGCCAATACGAGTTGAAGACATGAAAAGGTTGACTGTTTTTGATCATAGATGTCTACGATCTCTTTCTCACGTTAGGAGGTGGTATACTAAGGTAAGTAATGTTGACTTTAGGCTTAGAGTATTGGGCAAAGAGGGAAAATCACTCGAAGAGACTATAAAGTTACATAGATTGAGACGGTTAGGTCACGTGCTGCGCATGCCTAGCCATCGACTCCCCCTCCCGAGGGCAGTACTAGCTGATATAGGTGCAGGTTGGAAAAGAGTAAGTGGTGGACAAACAAAAACATGGCCTCATCAATCCATGAAATCCTTGACAGTTAAACTGAGTCAGGTAGGGAGATGCAGACTTCCGGGTTGGGGCCCGCCCTCGGGACTCTGAGAATCAATGGCTGGAGACAATGGGTGACATGGCTCAAAATCGTTGTCAATGGCTTACGCAGATGTATTCAGTCTCTGTAATCTTTCATATTCCTTTCTACCATTACTCATTCTGTTTCACTCTTATACTTGTCAAAACTCTATTGATTCTCTTCATCACTCATCTTCTTGTCTACCTTCGTGTGCTCTTTGGAACGTGGCAACTGGGACTGCTGCACTTCGGTGCCAAGTCCTATGTTGAATCCAGCCAGCCAACCACGTGAAATTCATAAACGTTAATAGTAGTGATTATGATTATTTTTTGAAGTATGCTTTTATTTTTTTTTGTTACTTGATTTCTTTCTGTACTTCAGGTTGTCAGATCCGATCTTCGATTTCCTGAATTATATGTGGAAATGTTCCAATTGGCCGATAGTGCCTCAGCATTATTCTCTGCCTCTGCTCAAGCTGTTACATTGGCATGCTCCGGTGCTCTACAATCCTCGTTAGTCTCCTTCCAGGGTGGTTGTCAGCTGACATCAACAGCAACCACATTGTCGTCGGCGGCGTCGTTATCCTCCGGTTCCTCGTCGGCGTCTTCATCATCCTCGTCATCGTCATCATCATCATCATCATCCTCTTCTTCTTCTTCATTTCACAGTGCTGTATGTGGTGATATGACTACGGGGAAAACCAGCGAATCAGTGACGGTGGTAACCAGTGGTGATTTTGTCCCATCCAATGATCGTTGGGATGCAAGTCGACTAGCTTTATCTGTTCCCGCTGCTGCTGCTGCTGTTGCCGCTGTGGCTGCTGTCGCTGCAGCTGAAGCGACATTATGCCAAGGCAATCATCACCATCCTCAGCATCCTCATCAGCAGCAGCAATCATTGCTCTCAGGATCTTCTGCATTTTCACAATTCCCTACAACTAATCTAGTTGGCGTCGGTGTCGGTGTCGGTCTCGGTGGTGGCAGTAGTACTGGGCTATCGAATTGTCTTAATTCATGTCAGAAAAGACCTAAAAATGATGGAAACCATCACCACCACCATCACCAGTTGGCTAATGCTGCTACAAACTTTATAACAACTCCGCCATCTTTATTCTTTACTACTAGCCAACCGCCTCATCCACAGCCACCGCCACCATCATCATCATCATCTTGATTCTACTTGCCGCCTCTGCCTCTTCCCTTAACACTTACTACTTAAAAAGAAACCCCACTCCGGTATACCCAACAAATTACCATTCAATAGGCTACCTGATGAATAAGCTACCCTTACCCACCTTTCTTCAACTTCTTTTTACTATTATTACTATTACTATTAATATTATTATTATTGTATCATTGATAACACAGCAGTAAATGCGCCAATCAGGTTTTATTTGATAATAATAATACTAATACTAATTTATTTTGAGTCTGTCTGTTTGTGCGTTGGTGTGTGTGTGTGGATGTGTAGTGTTTTATGCTGTCCTGTCCTGTCCTGACCTGCTATCCTTTTATTTACCAAGACTATTTACTACTGAATACGTACACCACTACTTTTAGTAACAATTATTGTGTTAGGCCATAATTTGTGCATTCATATTTGATTCTTCCGGTAACTCTCTCTCTCCCACACTATTCTTCTCGCCGCCGCTTTTACTAGGTACTTTATATCACCTGCTCTCTCCCTCTGTCTGTCTGTCTGTCTATCTCCTAATCACGCACACCATCATCAGTGTTGATCTCCTGGCAAGCTCTTCTTGCTTTTTTACTTTTGAAATCTAAACTTTTACTTGATGATTTTGGGTGTTTCTTTTGTTCTTGTTGTTTTTTTTAAAAATTTTACTGCAGTTGTTAACACTGCTCCTGTATGTGTCCCAGTGAGTGTTGTCTTTGTGTCGTTGTTCTGCGCCATCCCATCCATCCCCTGTACCCCAACTTCGAACTCTCTCCGGCTCTGTCTCTGTCTCTCTCTCTCAGGTTTCACTAACTCTTCATTTCATTAATTTGAAAATTAAATACTTATTAAGTTATTTATTATTATTATTATTTGTACGCCCCCCCCGCCCTAATTTATACCATGGTGAATTCAATTTTCAATTGTTTTTGGTTTGACTTTTTAGCGCCATCTTTGAAAATTACTACAAATATTGTATAATAAAATGATCATGCTAAGTGTGTGTGTGTATGTATGTGTGAAGTTTCTATTTGGTAAATATTGTCTCCTCTATAAGTTATCATTGTGTGTGTGTGTGTGTGTGCGTGCATGTTTATGCACTCCTCGTGCTTCGCTTCGGGATTTTTTTTATTGCTTTCCATTTATATTTGATTTTTTGATTTTACTTTAGTTTTACTTGTTGTCGTCATCTCTGACTCGATTCTCCTAGTTTTATGCATTCATTCTCTGGACTGTTTTTTTTACAAAATTTGCTTGATACTTTGTTTTAATTTGTTATATTTAAATGCGTATGTGTTATCGCGCGGATGTGGGCGCGCGCGTGTGTTTCAAATATTCTCTCTTTTTTTTAATTATTGATCATTGGCTAATAAACTAAGCTGTGTGTTTTAATATTATCATAACTCAGGGAGAAATGAATTTATGCTACCCATTAACTTCTTACTTCTATTAAAATAATAATAATAATATGGTTATTATTTCTGTATTCAAATAATTTTTTTTTCAAATAACCTTTGTTACTATTGTTATTGTACATTGTACATTTATTCATTTGTACTACAGCTACTCTACTTATGCTTGTATGATAACAGCAGGAAAAGTTTTTAACATCGCCTTCAATTTTCACTGGCTAACACACACACCGCATTGCTGCTTATTGTGTCTTCGATCTCCTATCCTTGTCTCATGGAGTATTTTCCTACAATATTACGCTTCATATAGAGTGTGTGTATTTTCTGTTCTGTTTGATAGTTATGACTTTATCTACAAAACAAAAACAACAGCAACAAAAGAAAAGAATTTTGTTTATCCGTCAAAATTATTTTCCCAAACCTACACACACAACACACCAGCCATGGCAATTATTCACGCTGATGAAATGTTGTTCCCCGCCCCCGGTCTCCTGAATTGACACACACACACACATACAAATGAAGCGAAAATGTACCTCATGTATTTATAATTTCTTCATTCAATGTTGTATACAGCGATTTTTTGGAGGAATGGGGTGGGGCAATGGATGACTGCGGCTCGAGTAGGGTTTGATTGAGATAAATTCAAATCATCATGTTTTCTAAGGCATGTATGTGTGTGTGGGGCGGTGTTTGTGTTAGGCATGTGTAGCTGGAGGTGTGTTTCTTTTTGTCCTCACAAGTTCTCCTCCATGTGAATTTCGTCTCAATGTGTACGTGTGCGTCTGTTTATCCATGCTTGCTCTACTATTATTATTATTATCATTATTAGTCTTATTGTTCTCTTGTGTAGGCGACTGTTTTGCATCCTTTTGTTTACACCTTCGTGTGTGGGTGGTTGAGTGATTGAGTGAGTGTTCGAATATCTTAACTACCTAAATCTTATTTCCCCCTTTGTACTATTATTATTATTACTACTATTATTTATTATCTGATCCAGTCGTTTGTATTGTGGTGTCGCCGATGTTCATCGCTGCCCGTCCGTCCTATGTCTTTTCTATCCTCAGTGATTGTCTCAGGTGTATTGAAGTCCGCTTGGATGGAGCTACTTGCCTCTACTACCACTACTACTACTACTACTGTATCGAGTGCGCTCGTACACTGCACTTGTGTATGTGTGCGCCGGTGTGCTCAGGCATGCGTGTGTGTGCAATTTTTCTATGTTCTTTGTGTTTTTCACTAACTTTATTTCTTTTGATTTTTTTTCCATTTTCTTGTTATTACTATTGAAATTTATGCGTGAGATTTCCCGGGTTTTTGTAGTTTTCTTTGGCTTCCATTGACGAAGACTTCTGTGTGTGCTTGTGTGTGTGTGTGTGTTTGTGTGTCTACGGCAGGGAATCATCGACATCCTCATCATAATGGCGATGATCTATCTATCTTGTTTGTATATTAATTCTCTTTTGTGCCCCTCTGTGAACTACCTCATTACAACTTTGGATTTGTTCTTTTGGGAGGGCTCTTTTTGTGTGTTTTTTGTCCTCTTTGTGGGCGATTGCCTCATGTACACACTTGAAATAGTGTGTTACGTAACAAATACACACACACATAACCCACTCACTCAAATACAAGCGGTGTTGTTTTCTTCGTTAATTGTGAATGTGTTGAACGAATGTTTAAGTTTGGTTTTTTCTCTCCTCCCTCCCCCACCCACCCCTGCTCTTATCGATCGATCGATCGGTCGGTTGATCGGTCCAGTTGGTTATCTATACTTGATCGGTTGGGTGCGGGGGGGGGGTAGCTAAGGAGTGATATTTTGCGAGATTTTTTGTTAAGCGCGTGTAGTCTCCATAGGCTGTTTATATGTTTGTTCTATTTGTTCTCTCTTTTTCTAAATGTTTCTATCATGTCAGGACGTGTAGTAATAAACGGCTTTCAGAAATACCTATAATGCCATAACTACTTTGACGATTGTTCTCTGTGTTATAGCGCCATTTTTATACTTGAACAAAAAAGACGCCATTTTTTGACAACACGATCGATCTCCTTTCTTTATGTTCACTCTGCATGGATACCATTATTATTATTATTATTGTGGGTTTTGTTCAATGTAGTTTGACTACCTACACCTACCTTCGTCTCTTTTGTACCCTACCTACCTGTTTGCTTGCCAACTTTCCATGTACTGCCTCCCTCCCCCTCCCCCCCCGTCCTTGCCCACACTTCCCGCCTTCTTTTGTTTATCAATTGGTGCAATTGGTTCAGTGTTTTTGTTTGTTTTCTTTCGCATTATTGATTTTTTTTATCCGATTGATTGTTATTATTATTATTATTGTGATTATTATCAGCTTTGAAAGATCTCTTTGTCCCCCCCCTGAAAAAACCTCTTAGTGCTTATATTTTTCATCAGTTTATACGCTCAAAAGTTGATTTTTTATTGACTATAGCGCCTTTTCCATTGTTATTATTTCTGTCTTTATATTATTATGTTGAATATAAAATTGTCAAATAATATCTTATATAACTTATTTGATTATTTATTGATTTATTGATCAACTGATTGATTGATTGATTTATCGATTAATTTGTTATCGATTAACTTATGAATGAATACATTGTCCTTCCTTCTTGTACTCACTGACATGCACACACATACACATAGAGAGAGCGAGGGACGCACACACAGGAATGTGTGCGCCTAAATGATGATGACTTGACTATGCTTTAGAAACACACACACACACACAAAATGATCATTTGAAACCATAATTCCTATTCCTAATACTTTGCTTATTCTAATAACACCCCCTTAAATAATCCTGCCTACCTACCTATCTACCTATTGTATTTTATTGTATTGTGTTTTTTATGCGCCAATCACACTATTTATTTACTGTCTGTGTTTCACTGTTGTTTACACTTTTCATTGTGTTATATATATTTATTGATTGATTGATTTGATTTGAATTGTTTTATTTGTTTGTTTATTGATCTCTCCTTCCCCCTCCCCCTTGCGCCCCCCCTCGCCACGCCGTTGTGGTGCTCCTTTTATTATTTCGTTTGATTTTCCACTTTGTTAACACCTCCCTATCCTACAACCCACAATGCACACAGGTATTTGTGTGGGGGTGGGTGTAGTCTATCTATTTATATTTATATATCTGTGTCTGTGTGTGTGTATTCATCACTGACATTTGCACAGGGACACCCGGCACACACACATACACATGCATACACAGCCTCCAACTCTGTCCCCCACCCCACACCCAGGATACCCACCTATACTAACAACTCTAGTGTAGATTTTTAAAAAAACTCTGTATACACATGCACAAACACAAGTATTGCGCCATTCTAATAATAATTATTATTATTAATAATAATATTATTTGTTTAATAATGTGACATTTATCATCTCTCAGGTATATATGCAATATCTCACCGGTTATACAATTTTATTCACAATATTTCTCTTGTTTTCTGTTTTTATTGTTGCTGCTAGTTTTGTCTTCTATCACTGTCTCTCCCTCTCCCTGTCGTTCAGGCTTCTTTCTTGTAACTTTATTGATTTGTTTGTCTCTGTGTGCGTGAGTGTGTGCGTGCGTGCGCGTGTGCGTCTGTATGTGCACGTGCACTCCCCAAGTATCTTCGTTCAATTCTTCATCCTTCTCGTCATCGCTGTTCGTTTCACACATTTTCTTTTGTTTTAATAAATGTATACTGTCGCTGAAATCAAATTTATGAGTAGTATATATATACATGATTGTAGTGACTGAGAATTAGAAAATTTGCAAAAATCATCTTTATCAT